TTTTTTTTTTTTTTTTTTTTTTTTTTTGTAAACATCATGGACAACACATCCCTTTTTATAAACACATCCCTTTTGTAAATTTCAAATATCAATGAAATTATCTCTCACAAAAATAAATAAATAAAAAAAATGAAAGCTGTAATTATCACTAAGCATTCATACCAAAAATCGCATCCATCACTCCTTTAATCAAAAGTCCCCAGATAAAGAGCAAGGAATAAGAGGAGTATAATTTGCACTGACTTGACGATTATTATATAGAAAAAAAACCCTATCTAATCCTTAGATCATCAAACTACTGATCCCCCTCTTTTGTAGTTATATATATGAAGAAAACAGCTGCACTTGAGCCTTATATGTTTTATGAAGAAAATGAAACTCGTAATGATAAATTAGAATATTCTTATAGTAGAAAATGAATGCTCTCTTTTCACGTCCCTTGTTCACATGTAATCTAACATATATAGATTTCACAATGCTCTCCCTTTACAAAATACACCTTTCTAGTTGGTCGCAGATGCATATCTGGTTTAGAAAGAAGGTGGCATGGCATCCACTTGAATGCTACTTCAAAGGCAAAGTCATAAAAGATATAAGAAAAAATTAAGTGAGATATGTTAGAAACAATTCAACAAAAGGAAACGCATATGCACAAATTAAATATGATCAAAATAGTCAAACGATTTCTATCCATGGTCCATCAGTTAATGTCAAGTACTCCGACACATACCTTCCCCAGCCTGCCATTGACTTAATGATGGAAACAAAAGGACTCTCTGGAGCCAACCCTCGATTGTATTTTGAATAATATTTTCCTTTGAGCCCTCCACAGAGCATGAACCAGAATCATCAAACACAGTGTTTCTTTCACACATTGGACGAATAAGAAAACTCACAATCAGTGGAAGAATCCTTAAACAGTCAATATTCACTGCTTCACCAATGAAAAGTCTTCTAACAAGCAACTCAAACAGTGAACTAGCTTTGTCTCTCCCCCATATGTTTTCTTTTAACATACAGAAAAGAAGAGATGCGAGAGCTCTCAAGAATGGTTCTTGAATATCCTCTAGTAAGGAATCTGGATAAGGCCAAATATTGACGATGCTTTGAGCAGCCCTGCTACCGCAGAGAAGAGCCCCATCCAATAATATGTTGAAGGTGGAATCCAACAAGCTTTCATGTGAACAGCTCTTTTTGACATAAGCACAAAATAAAGGAAGGAAAGAACCTCTAGCATTACCTCCTGGCCAGTTCCATGTGCATAATATTTCAGCAACCAGCCAAGCACGGCAAGTAACCTCATTATTTGTCGCCTCACCAAGGCAAGGTGAAGAATTTTCAACTTGGCCAGAAAAAAATTTCTCAAGTCCAATCTTTGACATAAGCATGCTTGCTAAAGAAATAAGCTTGTGATTTCCAGATTTCTGCATATGAAACATCGGTGTATTTAACGTTCAGTATGCAATGTCTCATTGGAACTTTTACAACAGAAAACACAATTTCGGTCAGAGATTAGAAAACCAGTTATCAATGGCTTAATTAATTAAATGGATGGAAACAGAATGCATCAAAGAAGAAATGCTTGACAGAATGTAGCCTAGGCAGTGTACGACTATCACGTACTCCTAGAAGGACAAACTTTGTTAGGGGCCGACAGTAAAATTGAGCAGTGATTGCTATTTTATCGGCATAGAACATCTACCAAGCAACATAGATGGAAAACAATGGATGGTCAGATACCCGCTCTCTAATATGGGTGATTAACCCAATAAGACGAGGAAAACTCAAACATGCAGATACAAATTCAGATAGTCATATTTTTATTAAAAACCAAAGAATGATATATATTTATATCGTTATCAGAAAATACAGAATGAAATTGTCAAACTTCAGCATCCACAATAGTATTAAACTGTCATGAAGAAAGAAATGGTATAAATTAAACAAAGCCCACTCACGTGAATATCAAAGCCAATGTTTTTCGTATTTGAAGTGGCCAATTCATTTGAAGCCATGAAGTTGGGAGCAATCCAGAAAGGCCATGTATCACCCTTGATCAAAAGCTGGTATAACATATATTGTTCCTCTAAGTGATCCTGAGAGATTTGATCCTTAACTTCAAGCATCCATTGGCAGCACAAAGACACAATTTCTTCAGTATCTTCACTGAAGATGGCAGACCTAATAAACTGAATCAGGATACTTCCATATTTTTTTCTGTCGTGTGTTTTACAGTTCTTCCAAAACTGATAAATCTTTTGGCGTAGGACACGCACACGTCCACCAAAAAGCAACCTTTCTCTCCTTTCTTCCTTAAATTTGTCATCAAGCATATCGTCTTGTCTTTCTTCTATACTACAATCCCAGTCGATAGCATATATAGTAGCTAAAATACTAGGAAGTAGATAATTTTCTTCCCCTAGGTTGTATAAGCAAAAGACGCAGCGGTCAAGTACTTCTAGAGAAAAATGTGCGATCGCAACAACATCTGAAGAACTTATGGAATTGGGGAAAGAATTTCCAGGCTTAGGTATCAATAAAGAACATGAATTTCTTGCCCAACTTAAAGGAGAGTGCAATAAGAAACTAACTAATTTCTGAAATACCGCCTCGAATATAGCAATCAATGTATCTCTTGACACAAAAGAAGAGCAATCACTCTGTACTGAACCACCCAAAACAGAACTGCAAAGAAGAGAGATGATTAAGATTAAAACATAACACATCGAAACTGTGGACTAATATTTTAAATAGGACTCTACTAAGGCTAGGACTCAGTTTGCAAGAGTTATTTCATTTCTCAAAAACAAGCAACCTTCCACCAATCTTTGGATACATGCAAAAAAAAAAGGTAGGAAAATGGAAATTGTCTAGCCATTTCCTGTTGGTGTGTGTGTGCTCGCATACATATACATACACACACACACCCATACATACATACACACATCCATACATAGATACATGCATACATATACATATACATATACATATACATATACATATACATATATACTTCTTTTACAGAGGTGAAAGATGATCGAGTCATTTTCAAGAAACATGGCACTATATCAATCTGAATCATGAAATTCAATTCCCACTAGAGGACTTCCCGAGATGTAATGTATCCAACTTTCTAACTCCTGATTGTAAGATTATGCAGTTAATAAGGGAAGGGGAAGAGAAAAAGTTGGAAGTAAAATGTAACGTTTCTAATGTATAAAAATACCACAGTTTAAAAAGCAAGTGAAATGAAGATACTAGTTTTCATGGGCCACTCCAATTGAAATAAATGATTAAATCAAGAAAACTAGTAAGTATGAAATGGTTCAAAATGTGTACCATGTGTGATTCTAAATCGTAAATGTATCAGTTTTTTAGAACATAATTAGGTATAATCATTAAGACAAGAGATCTATAGTTTAGATACCATAAAAACTCTGTAAATGAACTTCTAAAGGGAGCCTGGGATTGCGCTATAGCAACAGCAGCAGATTCCAAATGCTCATGATGCCAGTTCCCAAGGTTAGCCTTCTGCCAAGTATTGGTGACATTTCTTGCGTCACTATTCGTAATTTTTCCTCTTGCTCTGTCTAAAAGCTTTGCCAACATGGCTAAACTTTCTGAGTTAATGGACTCAAGCACAACTCCAGTATGATCTAGATCAAATGAGTAACTGATAACAGAATTCCATTGATGGGAGAAATGTTCATCATCAATTAGCGTAAGCAAGAGATCTAATCGAGCACCAGCAGAGCAATTATTCCCTTGCAAACACCAAGGAACAAAAACTTCATTAAATATTTGCATGAATTGTCTTGCCTCCACATCTTGGGCCTCAACACCAGACAAATGAGTAGAGGACTTTCCATTATTACAAATAAATAGTTCTCGAACAATATTGCGAGGCCCAAAAACAGAAATAGCAGCAGATAGAAGCCTCACACCATCTGAAGATTCCTGATGTCAATGAAACAAGAATAATATAGTTTGAATTAGAAATATTTGAAGTTCAATAGTGGGAAAAGGCATAAGGTATTAGACATTAATACATTTTGGGAGTGATAGTCTGTGGGCCAAAAAGGCAGCCACAGAAACTGTGAGGCACGCAGGTTATCCACATTACAGCTTGGCATAAGTAAGATAATTAGTAATTAGGTAAAGAAGTTCAAAATAGCTTCTTAAAGAATTTCTGGAACAAGAGTTCAATTGTGGCAAAAGGCATAAGATATTAGACCTTTATACATTTTGGGAGTGATTGTATGTGGGACCAAAAGGGAAGCCACAGAAACTGTGAGGCACGCACGTTATCCACATTACAGCTAGGCATAAGTAAGATAACTGATAATTAGGTAAAGAAGTTCAAAATAGCTTCTTAAAGAATTACTGGAACAGGTGTTCAATGAATTCAAGTCATGCAAACCTGAGCACGTTGTTTCTGTGTTTTAGAATGAAAATTCATGTATTCCTTCTCTTCAGAATAATGTTTAGACTTGTACTCAAAAGAGAAGACTAAAATTTGATGCAATGCAACTATACTAGCTAACTAAATGTATAAACCTTTGGTTTCTATAGTAATTTAACCACCACATCCAAAAATAGAAAAAGCATAAGTGCAAAGAAGAAACACTTTGAATAATGTTTCCAAGAAGTATGAGATATTGCCTTACATGCGATCTTATAATCGGGAAAGCATTTGCCAGTGTTGGTCCTACCAAGATAGCCAAGGGCCAGATATCATCCTTGTCCATAGAAAGTTGCTCCAATTCTAATATAAATCCTATAATCTGTTCTATGGTTCCCGAGGCTACTTCTGTATTATCTGTCAACTGGAACATACTAATACAATTCTTCTGAAATTCCGTAGCAAAAACAGAAAGTAGATCATGTTCCACTAGGTAGATGCCGGATAGAATTTCAACAATGCATTTTCTCAAATCTTGTAAGTAGCTCATCGGATACTTTGTACTTGGTGTTTCTCCGGTCCTCTTGTTATTCAAAGGTGCACCTCCAGACAAGGCCCTGTCTTGATTCTTTAAACATTGAACGTCATGTAAGTAATCCTTCCATAAAAGGTTAACAAGAATAACATCAACGAGGGTAACTTGAAAATGAGCTAAGTCATCTCCACTGCAGAACCTGGGAGCAAAAAATAAAAGCAAATTACAAACCCAAGGTTAAAGCTTAATTCAATCATGTCCAGTACTGAATAAAGTGGCAGCAAAGAATCTCGTAGAAAAAAATGATCTCCCATGCTAAACTAGCAAAAAAAAGAAAAAAAGGGAGAAAAACAAGGTCAAGAAACTACGACCACCTTGATGCATTCTGTAGCCCCCAAAGAAAACATTCTTTAAAAGCCTGGAAAAATGCAAGCCTTTCTGCATTTGATGAATGGAATGGGTTCCTTCCAACCCATAAATTCTCGAAAAAGTTGAGGAGAAATTTCTGCTCTCCCACAGCACTAGGTGGAACTGTGTCCAAAAATAAAATCAAAGCTGGGTAGGAAATCAGTTGGGATCCAAAGCACCCATTTCTAAGAAAATTCCAAAATCTATTCAGTACAGTTTTCTGGACATTCACATATGTCCAACAGTTGGGCAGCCTTTTGGAAAAAAGTAATACTGCATCCCACATTGATGAATGGCAAGAAGGGTCTTTCTCCTGAAAAGCACCAAGGATAGAACCGGAAATAGTTTTCATGTTCTGTTCCTTAAAAGCATGAGGAATGTTTTTCACAAGGCTCTTTACGACTGAAAAGGTAGCAGATCGGACAATGGTACTTTTGGACTGCAACAGGTGTACAAAGTATTTATGCTCGGTGAACAACTTTTCAGCAAATGAAATAGCAGTTTCCCTAGACTTGGAAGCATGCTTTGTTTCACCACTGCCTTTCCCAGTCCCTGATCTTTCAGTCCGAACACTCACTAAGACATCAATTAATGTGGCTAGAGCAAGCAGTGATGAAGAGATAACCTGCGTTTGAAGACAGCAAGAAACAGCATAACAGCACAACTTAAAACAAAAATAAAATCATCAAGCAGAAAATAGTAGTATTTCCAATTAGGCAACTGGAAAATTGATATACAACATGAAGAGGAAATTCAGTCAAAGGAGAGAATATGATATGAATCACGACCAAGGAATTTTCATACCTCAAGGTCCAATTACAAGGACGAGAGCCAAGAAGCTACAACAAACCTTGTACACATATCTTCAAGCTACGGTGAACTCATCAAAGGAAATTCTAGAAGACGTTGGAGACCTCCCTTATATGTTGGGCAAAGTTGAGCTTCAAGAAAGAGATGCATTAAATGCACTTTAAGTTGCATTTAATGAACTCAGCTAAATTTATGGAACTAGTCTAAAGATGACTAATAAGCACATTTCATTCATTGCACTATTTAATTATAGTTTAAATATTTGTTTGCCATATTTAAGCTAATTTTTAATATAGGAGTTAAGGTTATATTGTAACCCACATAGGTTACCATATTCCACCTGGGTATTTCTCATTTACTAGCCAATTTAATTCGAGAGTTATGTGTCATATAGGTTAAGGTTGTAAAGGCTATATAAAGCCTTCTTTTCTTTGCTTAGAGACATCATTGTTGTAGCTTCTTGACTCTCATCCTTGTAATTGGACCTTGAGGTATGGAAATTCCTTGGTCGTGGTTCATATCGAAAGAGTATCTAACATGCAACATAAATATTAGGAACCATCCCTGTTCAAGAATAATTTGGGACATGAAGCTATTACTTTGAGGTAGTGAAGTCCCGTTATTGCACTAGCACTACTGTTGGCCACTACCATAATGCAGATAGAGATTTAATGAAAAGTAATAGGGAAAAGAAGAAAAGAGAAAAAATTAATACGCACGCTTGTGCTATGAGAAATAAAAAGACATGATCGTTGATATACAGTCAACCCTAGTAATAGACAAACATGAAGCAGAATCTAAGAGAGGGAGAATTTGAAAGCACACCTGCTGGTGCATCTCTTCCAATTCATCCTTAGCAACTACTTTATCTGACAAAGTGTCTGGTGTGAGCTTCAAGTTTTCCTCCAGGTATATAAATATCTCAGTTGTACATAAAATTAAAGCATCTACTCTCTTTTCCTGAGCAGGAAATGCTGCCTGTTGTTCACAGTTCATTTAAAGCGGAAAGTGTTAAAAGGTTCCATAAGAAATGAATTCATAAGTTGTTTGTAGATTGTTTTTTTTTTTTAAATAAAAAAAAAAACACAAATCTAAGTACGATCCAAGAAAATTTAGTGTTTAATGGAAATTGACCAGTCACACTGCAGTATGCCGCCAACTCAAGTTGGGGGACAGAGTGAAATCAATTGAGGTTCCAAAAAGCGATATGAATGCCAGACAGATAATCTCATTTGCAAAGGATATTGCCATTCGTTTTATATTCGTTAAAGAAATATGGATCTTTACAAATAAGGCCCTTGTTCTGTTTTCGACTTCTTAGAAGATAGCATAACCAAACTAGAAGAAAAGAAACTTCCAGAAACTTCTTTTTGTAATTCATAAAATTTACCAAGATTTTTTAGCTTACAAAACAAAGATGTTGCAAAACTTCCTTGCTTTAAAAACATGATGTATCAAAAGTGCCCTACAATTTTCACGTGCATAGTATTTTCCATTTTGTCTAGCAACACAATGAGAGGTAATTTGAGGAGTTTAAACCTATTTAGCACGGACACACTAATAAAAAAGAATCTAAATCATCTTTTATTTTTCTATATGTAAAAGTGCTCTCCAAAGAAGCTAAAATCAAAATGTGTGAAACTGCATGGTACTTGCACACAAACTATGCTTTTGATTGATCAAAGTCCCCAATTTGAGATCATGACCCCAACCCTTTGGACATTTATGTGTGAACCTTACTCTATCCATACACCCTCTCTCAAGTCATCACCAGTACTCTACTATAAATGAAAATGCTAATCAGTTTGGTAGTTGATAACATACCTGCAATGATTGCATTGCACTTTGAGAGACTTCAGAAACTGAATCAAATTGAGAAAACCACCATGGCCCCATCAGAGATTTCAGGTGCGGAGCTATCTCTCTCCTGAGGAACATGAAAGAAATCCCACAAGCTAATTTAGTGCCTAAGCCTTATGACCAAATGAATTGATTGGCTATATTACATTAATGAGACCTGGCAATTAACCATTGAACATATTAAATAATTGAATTCTGCCAATACTTGAACGTGTAAATATCCAAATCCAACAATAATAAGCCAGAAAGTAATTAAACAAAAAGGTTCGTGAAAATTTAAGGACTTCTTTATCAGTTTCTATAGGAATGAGGAGAAAATCAGTATATATCAGATGTCTACTTATAGTATAGTATGAGACTTATCCATAATCTTCGCAAGTATCTTTGTATTCAATAAATGCATTTCAAACAAAAAATAGCTTATGTTGTCAAGCTCATCATTACTCTACATATGATCTAGAAGCTTAACCACCAAACTAAGCAAAAGTTGCACTGAGATCAACATGCTACTCATGCAGAATTGAGAGTGATACAGATTTGGGAAGGGCAAAAAAGTACCCAGCAGCAATGACGAGATTGGTCATTGTCTCATGTGTGGCAAGTCGTACATCCCTATTATAGTCCATCAACAGTTTCTTGTATTCAAATACCTATAAAAGAGAAAGCTATCATTGAAAAAGAGCAAACATTTAAAAAATGCAGCACGATGCATAACTAAAGTCATAATATGACAACAAATAAAATTGGCTGGTAGACAAAATATTAAATAGTTAAAAGAGAAGAAGAAGAAGAAGAAGAAAGCAATCAAATCAAACATTAGACTAGAACTTCAGTTAATTATGCACCCTGGATAGTGTACATAAAAACTTGGGAGCTTTCCTATAAATCCAGCTAAACCATAAGGAAACAAGAAAGAACTTATCCACATAATATGCAATGGCTAAAAAGAAATGAGCAAAAGAGAATAATTTTGAAAAGAACAAGTAAAGGTAAATTCTTTATAGAAGGAAACGGTCATCTTTCAAGCATAACATATACATTTCAACACTCCTCCTTAGGTTAAAGACAAGCCGAAAGGCTTTGTTCCTATAGAAGTGTGAGACAATACCCTAAAGCGGATGGTAGTGAAGCCGTGGTTCAAAATTATACTACAATACAACTCAAAGTTGTTGGAAGGAAGCATAAGCGTCCATGAAGATCCATCATATTTTGCACAGTGGTCTGACCAGGCTGCATTACTAAATGCTAAATAGGTGAGAAAGGATGCTAGAAGAACACAAAAAGTAAATTGGGGAAATAAAAGGACTAAATAGTAAGGATTTCGTATATTACCCTACTTCAAAAGCTTCTTTGTCAAGACTTAGCAGAGGAAAATTAGTCACTTTGGGGATAGCTCAATGGAGGAAGATACTCATGGGAAAAAGTATCTTACATAGAGAGTTACTCAGTCAACATGTTCAAGCCATAATCATATACCCTTGTCATTGGAGAAAGTAAACCCCCAACAATTGAAAAGATTGCAAAGACAACTTCAGTTATCAGAGGGGTTGTCAGCCACTGAGTGTGGCAAGACCAACAAACTTAGAATGCCCCAGATTGCATGGGACACAGGAACTATAGGACATGTAGCTTCGTGAAGAAATGATGCCCACACCTTCCAAATGTCCAAACAAGCAATAGTCTAAATAATAATAAGGCAATCAAGAAATAGCTTTTGGTCACAAACGAATGGAATCCAGATTAGCTCGAAAAGAATCTTAGTGGTCCATGATATTGTCTGGGAACATGAGAAGATTGAAGACTAGAAGAAAAAGAGGCTTCTTGAGGAATTGAATTGTGATTCTGTAAGAGAGAGAGAGAGAGGGGGGGGGGGGGGGGG